GATTCTCTGTCTCTCAGGAATGGTGGGTGGTAGACCCACCCAAGAGAAAAATTTGTGCTATCACCAAGGATGAAACAAATTTGGAAATGGAAGCATGTGTTCGATAAATATGTAGTACATTATTGACAGCTGATCCATTTTAAGACGCTGTCACCCTCTGTTTCACATAAGGTATCATTAAAAGAAGAGAAAGAGGGAGGCAAAGAACTAAGGGTTCACTTACAAGTCATTGATCTCTGGGCTGTATTTTGGGTATCCTGGTACTTTCTTCTCATTTATACTGGACTCTGGTAGATGACAGCATAAAGGCTAACTCAATCTTGACTTGTTTTTGACAATTTCTTTATTTGAAATTAAGGAGACTTTAAGATTTCAGGCTGCTTTTAGGAAAGTACAAGTTAACCCTTTGGCATCCTCTCTCAAATGTTTCGACAATAACTGAAGTAAGTGAAGTACTAAATAATTGAGGTATTTAAGCAAGAAAATGGTTGGTTTATACTCTTATAGAAAAGAGTTAAGATGGGCCAAACACAAACATAAAACACCTGAGGAATTTCCAGATCTTTGAAGATTTTTGGTCTCCTTAAAGTACTATGCAGGTCTCTTCCATTCCCAAGCAAATGTATTCATTGGCAGAATCAAGAGTACGAGTCTCAAAATTAACATCAGAAATATGAATTCCTCTCTGAAAATTAAATATGCTGGCTTATTATAGCTATTATTAGACTGGAAACACTGGTTAACTTCCTGGCATAACCTGGCTTCTTTTCCATTCTGTTCTTGGGCTGCAGCTGCACTACTTTCCATGTTATGCTAACAGTTGTTAAGTACTTCATGAGAAACATATACACAGTGATAGGAGTTAAATTTTGTACTGTTAAATAAAAGAATTATAATGAAAGTGGTATAAGATTTTTCTCTTACAGTGGATTTTACTTCCTAAGAGGATACTAAAAAGGCCCATAGTTATATGGGGGAGGAGGCTTGAAAGAAGTCTGAAGAGATAATTCCTGTATTTTAAAAAAATGGACTAAAAGCCAAAAAATAAATAAGGACGGATGAAAGGAAAAGAAAGGGGTATTTATGATTCCTAATGCATTTTTACTTGGATCACATGCCTACCCTTCCAAATAAAAAGCACAAAGTAACACCATGTCCTATAAGTTCTCACTAGCTGCTGATACGCTCATAATCTATATATTTCATATTAATTACTAAATAGCCATAAGATGATATTTCTCTAATTACATACTGTGGGTAGACATAAATGGTCACATAAACCCCTTAAACTAATTATTCAATTTGATCTTATGCCATTTTACGGGGAGTATAAAAAAAGCACCACAAGATCAACTGAATATCTAAAGACGCAGTAGCAAACATTTATCAAGGGGGTGGGGTGGGATGTGTGTGTGCGTGTGTGTGTGCGCATTCTTTCACTTTCCTTTTATGCTTTCCTATTTGACTTTCCTTCCTTGAAGTTTTTATATTAAAACTATACAGTCAGGCAGTTTACACATGCCCCTAATTTATGGGTAGCAGTTAATTTAATAAAATCACTCATATCAATAATAGTGACTATTAACTATCACCATCACAATAAGGTCATCTAACAGCTAAGGAAAAGCATTTTCTTAGCCTAAGTAGAAGTTAATACTTAACTCCTTAACTTCCCTCGGGGAGGGAAGTACTTGGGTACAGTAGAACAAGTTTTTATTTATTTGACTGCAGGATCATCTCATTGCTGTGCAAATTCATAAAGTACTGGCCAAGTGGTAGGTGGCATACATACTGTCTGAAGATCAGCCTGGCTAAGTTCAAAGTCTTCACCAGGTTGACCTTAGAGTGATATTTCTTTTAACCACAGTAATTCTCAAAGACCATCTATCAAATTGTAGAGGGACTGCCATGTGTGTTTGGTTGAGGAAGTCCCCACAAAATATAGATCCTTGAAGCTGAGATAATATTAAAGTAAACTATATTTTTTTTTACACTTTGTTTTCAGTCTACTTTTTATGTGTGTATAAAATTGTTGAGTCATGAGTGTCTTTTGAGGTGGTTTGGCATAATCTCCAAATCAAGTATAAAACTCTCCAGCAATCTTCCACCTTTTATGTTAATGACTTCCACTTCTATAGAACTTCTCATTTTTCTAGCTAGATTCTAGGTTCCTCAAGTGAAGGGGCTCATATCTCTAAGCAGAGAGCTGTCAAATACACAGCCAGAATGCTGCCTGCAACATCTGAATGCAGCCTGAACCAGATTAAAATTTAACTGGGAAATGTTTAACAAAATACTCATTTTCTAACACAGGTAATGTTAATATGTGATTTTCTTAGTCAATATGCTATCCACAAGGATTTTACATATGGTTTAACGGCTCCTGTTTCTATTCGAGTTTGATACCACTGTGTTAGAATCACTGAATTCTCAACCACTTGAGCTGGAAGAAACCTTAGAGATTAGAAATCAACCCTTCCATTTTACAGATGAAGTACCAGAGTCCCACAACAGTGAAGTGATTTCCAGGGGCTGGTTTGTGATAGAACCATAGGAAGAACTCAAGTCTTTTTACTTTTATTATGTACTCTTTCCATAGTATCCACATTATATATCTTCCTTTTGTAATTCCCATAGTGACTAACAAGTATTTTTTGACTTCATACAGTGGAAAACACTCCAAATATGACAATAAAAATTAATGACGAAAAGATTTCAGTATCTTCCATCCTCAACCAAAATATGAATAAATCAATAAATAGGATAAACAGTAATTAACCAGTAATTAACTTTGCAAAGGAAAAAAAAACTTGCCGTTACAGTTTGAGATTAAAGAAAGTGATTGATTTCACACTAGCTGTCCAAAAAAAGGAACATACCAATTTTATGAGATTAGAAGATTTCTAAAAATTAGAAGAAACCAAGAATCTTTTAAATGACAGTTCTTATAATGACTGGGAATAAATTATTTGAAGAAGTGATTTTTACTGCCAACTCACAAAGGAAAGGACTCTTCAGGTGGTCAAACATAAAGATAAAAAAAATAGACATCAAATTACATTATTTTTGCCATCAGGTAAAGGATGTCTTTACTAAATAAATTACATAGAGTACAAACTATGTAGGTTTTTTCCTAGGAAAAAACCTTTGCCAGTGAGTCAGGAAAAAGGATAGAAACTGGACTGTGATTTTGTTGGTATAAGGAACTCTCAGGTGAGGAAACTCCTTTCTAATGCAAATCATTATCTCTTCAATTTATGGTCTTTCCACAAAGTATAGAATGAGTCAAATGAGCTTAAATTAAAAATAATTTAGGATAATGACCCTAAATTTAGATCAAGAAGCCCTCCCCAGTCCCCAGAATTCATCTAGTCCAATATTATCATTTTAGAGATAAGGACACTGATGTCTGAAGAGATTAAGTGTCGTACCCAGGATGATAAAGATGATAAGGAGGAAAGTAGCAGTGGTGGGATCTGAGCCAGGTCTTCTGACAGAGAACAAGTTATATGCATTTTTAAATGGCAGCATGACACTTTGGGAAAAATTCTTGCCAGCCAGCCAGGTTGAGAGCTGGCATTTTAGTCATCTTTATTGCAATGTATTTTGCTTTGTAAACTAGGGTTAACTTATTAAACTTACAGCCGTGAAGATGATAAGTTGGAAAATGCATATAATATTCCAAAGTCTAATCTACAAAGTTGCAATTTAATTTAAATATCATTACTGAAGCAAAACCACACTTGACGCATTTTTATCATGTACTGTTCTGAAGTGCATGCATTAAAGAACAGAACATCTAATTGGATTAGTATAATAGCTTGTAAAATGAGGCAGAAAACATATATTTTTTGCCACAAGGAATACTTCTGTTATAACTGAGACCAAATGATAGGCATGTCATTATGGGAAAAGGATGCAAATCCAAGACCCCTGGGGACTATGTGTGTTTCCTCTACTTATTTGTCTATTTGCCAATGATGAAAAGTAACACCAGAAATCCCTCTTTTGTCAAGTAACAATGTGACTGTGACAAGTAACTCAAGAATTAAAGGTACTTTTTAGTATCAACATAGAAAGGATCCAGGGAATCGTTTTTTTAAAAGGGGCCAAGATTTTGGAGTGCTAACCAGAAAAAAAGTTTTCAATTTGTTGTTTAAACAAATTATTTTTGTAATGGAAGCACTAGGTTGAACCTCCATTTATTCTGTAATTCCTTTTGTTGAACTTAGGAGTTTCTTCTTGGAACTTTTAAATGTAATTTTGTGCCTTACATTTCTTACCCCCATCTTGTAAAGCCTGTTTCTAGCTATAGTCACAATGTTCTAGATTTTTTGTTTCCAAAGTTGCATAGGTACATAGTTTTCATAAAAGAGGAGATATAATAACCCTGAGAATATTGAGGGTTCCATGTCATTTTTTTCATGGTCTCATTATATCTGCTTTACTACAAAATTGTACCTGTATGAAGAATGGTTTACTTGGTTATCAAATTCTCATTCTGTAGATGAAAAATAAGAAAAAATGGGTTCAAAAATATTATGTGGTAAAACACATTTGCATAACAGAGAATCTGATCTATTTGGAAATTTTGTGTTTTCCTTCTTAGAATAATTTTCAATAAAAAAAAACACCTGTTCCCTATTGATATATTATTTCCTTCTACTTCTCCTTGTTACTATAAAAGGAGATTATCTCTCCTTGAGATTTTACTCCACAGTTTACTTTAGATACAAAGAGGTTTTACTTAAAAATATAAGCAAATAATGTTTTCTATGTATTTCATGGATAAATATGTATCAATACCTATATTTTGTGAAGTTAAAATTAATAGTTAATAACTTCTATATCTATCCTTATAGTAACAGATAAGTTAAGGTAAAGAAGAACTATTTTCTTCTCCATGATAGTGGTGGTTGTGGGGAAGGAGAATTAGCTTTTCTCAATTTGGAAAATTACTTCTTTAGGAAGAAGATAAACAAACCAACCAACCAACCTACCTTAACTGTAGCCCCTGGAAAGAAAAGCCAATTGCCAGTATCCACTGGATCCAGATTGTCTTCTAAGATAATTTGTCTGTGAGCTGAATTGATGATCAAAATATTGTCTAAAGCCCAGCAGGCTTCATACACATCGCCCGCATGAATGTATTCCTGTTTCCACTGAAACTGAACATTCTCTCCTTTGGCGTCTTCAGGAAGGTAGAGGATATGGATGATTGTGCTGATGTTTGATGGAGCTCTGCAAAATATGGTAAAGTAGTGAATGAGACACCTCGAAGAGGTTTGGTCACGTCGACGTATTGTTCCCTTCAGCCATCGATGATGGTCAATACTAGATAATGTAAAATGCTTTGCAACTAACTGTAAAACACTAGACAAGTTTAACCTATTCCTATAATTATTGCTAATGGTAATACATACAACATGCCTACATTTGATCAGTTCTTAACATAAGCTATTACAAACTGTGAATATCCCAAGAAATGAGTGCAGATATGATGGAAAATTATACACACTCAATTTCTGTAACTGTCAAAGAGTATGTGAATGTCAACCATATTAGAGCATCTCATATAGTATCTAGTTCTGAATAAATAGTTGGTTAATATTTGTTGTTTTAATTTGATATGAGAAAAAAAGATGTTAAAGCACACACTGAAAAGTTATTTCATTGATTTCTAATTTTATTTTGAAAATAAGCACAAGAGAATTCATGATATATTCAACTTCAGTAATACTTTAAATAATATTATCTACTTTGGGGAATCACATAGCTTCCTTTTTCTGTTTAAAGTCTCAAAATAGCAATTAAAAGTTTAAAAAGTTAAACTTCATTTATAATTTTTTATCTAAACCAATTTTTAAATACTGTATAATTTAACATAATTTTTATGTTGCTTCTGTTAAAAACCAGGACTTTCTTCCATACAATAAAATATTTTCTGAATATTTTATTCTCCTAAAGTAGTAACCTGCCATACTGAAAATTATGGTCTTAGTCAAGATTAAAAGTGGTGCTAAAATGCAAACTAGTAGTACTTTTGGCTTGCTATAAATCAACCATGAAAAAGACTAGGGCAGACTCATATTTTTCACTTGAAGCATATATATTGGTAAAAGTGTCAGTGATTGTTATAGATGGTTTATCTTACATTTATTAAAATCAATTGGTGCTTTGTTTTTAAAATATTTCATGGTGGTTCCTTTTTTCTTTATCCAAAAGGAATTAAAACAAATAAAAAGGGACACTTTCATCTAACATAATAAATAAAATAATTGTCTGGTTCAGACCAAGAGGATAATAAAAGTTTGTTTTAATAAATATTGCAGTTTGAGGTATGATTTAGAAACCAAAATTCTATTCAGTAATAGCAGCTGATTTTGAATATTGTAATTAATAATAAAGGTACAGTACTATAGGAAGAAAAATACCTGGTTTTCTATTTAACATTATAATCATAAATATAACATTAAAATCAGATTTTTACCCATAGCCACAACTTGCCTTAATAGCAACATATAAGATTAAGAAAGAAAAACAATTTGTGGTAATGCAAGCACAATTATTTGTTTAATTGATTAATAAGTGCATTTAAATTGACATTTTTTCCATTATATATGCAGAAATAAGTAGCACATGTACATTGTTCTTATACCAACTAGAAACAAGAAACAATAACAAAGGTTAACATTATAATATATATGGTCAGAGTGTCAAAGCTAAGCTTGTACTAGGAGCACATTAACTTTTATTTTATCCTGTCATATCAAAATCCACGAATTACACTCACTCTTCTCTAGCTCTTGGCTAGAATAAAGACTGGTGAAAATCCATTGGATGGAAATGCCACTGGAAACTTTGGACAAATGTGTTTACTGCTAAAGACTAGTAGCTTACATTAAGAACCTGAAGTTTATTCTACCTTGATGGCATAAATCAAGGTTCTTTCAACATAGCAACTGTGGTAAAGTAAATGCCATATTATTAATGGAATCAATCACAAAACAGATAAGAAATGTTTTGTTTGCATTATTCTGGTTAGAACTGGAATAAAAGCAAAAAAAATTAGATTAAAAAAACTCTTAAACATCTTATTTGAATTTTAATTGTACTTTCTATTATTTAGGACATGCAGGAAAAAATTAAACCAATCAAACCCATATGGAAACACTGCATGCTATTTAACTTTGCCAAACCCATTTTAATAGGAAAGAACCAATTTTCTCTCCCTAAAGCATCCTATCCTATATCTTGTTAAAAGTCGTTGAAAAAATGGAAAAAAATTAATATTTCATTTAGCTACTGAGGGGCCAGTGGCTGCTATCAAAGAATGATAGTTCAGAAGGGACTTCAGGAGGTCATCCAGTTTATACCCAAGCCCACAGACAGAACTGTACCCATTTAGACAGATGGGTAACTATCTCATTTTATAGTGGATTTTCAGTGCGTTACCCTCCAAATGTAAGTCATATTCTGCCATTACAGCTGTCTAATGGTAAGAGATAGAATACAAAATCACTTTCCTACCTTCTGATCAGTGTTTCAGTATGAATTCCAGAATCAGAAGGATATAGGTAAGAGTTTGGATGGCTCTACATAAATCATCATAACTGTAAATACTTAGACTTAAGCCCTACTGACAACAGAGTGTCCAGAATGGGAAGTAACACAATAAATTTATATTCTTCAAATTGAAAAGGTAAATACGTCAATTTATCTACATACATATGACCATTGGACAAAATGCATTTTTAAATCCACAAAGAATAATTTAGTCATAAGGAAAGAAAACTGGGAATTGCGAAGATGTCTGTGTGTTAGAGTGCATGCAGATACTTGAAGTTATAACAAACCTAATTTTCTCTAGCTGAATCCAATCTGCAGTGTTATTCTTGGTATAGGACACAACGATGCTGGGATCTGAATAACTAAAGCGGCATGAACCTGACCCTGTGAAGAATAATAGGTGTTAGAGTCAGAAACCAATGAGATGATACGTCATCTTTTCCTATCAACATTTTTGATGGATAGATTCCATCTCAGTGTTTTGTCTTTTAATTATTTCGGGGTTTGAATTGAAATTGTCTATGATCTGTTAAAGATGAATAGAAATTTCTGTCTTTACTAATAAGGAGTGATTTAAAAGCAATAAACTGCAGACAGTTAATTTCATAGATTTCCCAATGGAGACTAAACTGTTTTTCCTATCCCACCTTGCAAAATAAAATCAGTACATTATATACTGCTGGAGAACCAAATCTAACTTTTGGATAATAATAAATATTAATACTTTCAATAAATTTACTTCATATCATAATGGTTTCATCAAATGGTATGTATAATATTACATGGCATTTTTAATTTAAGAAGTGAAATTTTTTGTTATTGAAATAACAATAGTACTCTTCATTTGGAGAAACAAGCAAAGGACTTTTAGTCATATTTCCAATGTTTGATGAAGCCTTTTTGATCAAACTTAGAAGCAAGAAAATAAAAGTAGATACTAAGTCATGACAAGACTCTGCTTCTACCATATTGTTCAATCAGTTCATATAATATGGCACTATAATTGCAAAGATCAAATTAGAATCCCCAAATACGCATAGAAAATGAATGATAGCAAAGCCTTTGCCAGTAGTTTATTTTAACTGCCATGGCAGGAATTTCATTGCGCTATATTAAAAACAAATGAAGCAAAAAAAGCAAAATAGTACAATTTATGTTTGATTTTCGTCCATCTGCTAGACTAGCTGATGTTTCTGTGATGGCATCTGTTGACAGTTTTTACATTTGCAAGGCTCAGGGCTCCAAATTTTAATAATACTTATTTATTTTATGTCTGTGGAACTCAGTTCAAAATCAGTAAGTCAACAATCACCAAAACTGGCACCTTGATAAAAGGCAAAACAGCAGCATTCTGTCTTCTATTACCAAAGGCTGGGATACATGTGACAAATAGGAGAGCGAGGAATTATATTCAAAAGATAATTATCTAGCAATGCAGCTCTAAAAGAAAGCCCACCTTGGAGAGTTTTAATTACTTGTTAAATTCTTTCAGGATCCACTGCTTAAAATAAATACTAAGCTGTTTTGGTGAAAATGTGAGTGTATCACATGGCATAAAATGCAACAGAAACTAGACATGATTGTAGAAACACAAAATCAGTAGGGAATTCTGTGGTAACCTAGTCCAATTCAGGATTTGTATAGGAATCCCTTCAACAAAATCACTGGCATTGTCACCCAGGATCTTAAGCACTTCCATTAAAGATGAACCCATTCTGAAGTAGTCCATTATGTTTTCGGGGAGTTGTAACGTGAAGGAGTTTCTTTTTTACATTGATATTAAATATGTCCCTCTGTAAAGTTCACTCATTTACTACCCCTAGTTTTAACCCAAGAGACTAGGTGAAATAAGTCTAATTCCTCATCTAATAGTTGAGTATGTACCACGTGCTCCCTAAATCGTCTCTTCTCAAGGCTAAACCTCTCTAGTTCCTTTAACCATCCCCATATATCACTGTCTCCAGCATCGTAAGTGATCTTGGCTCTCACTGTCTACCTTGTCAACATCCTTCCTAAAATGTAGTGCACAGAATTGAACATAACACTCAAGCTGAAGTCTGAAAAGGGGAAGAATTCTGAGGAATTATCACTTTTTTTTTGTACTGGCAGATGATTTGTTCACTTAAAAGAAGAAAATATGGCACCTTCTTTGGGGCACACTCCTCCCAGTTCCTACTACCACTGGCAAATTGGGCTCCAAATGGGGAGACTATGACTCCCAATTTGGGTTCTAGAGCAAACTCTAAGGGGGTAGGTCCCTCCATCTTGGTTATCTATCGACATTAATCAGATTAAATTAACTTTTGAGCAAAGGTACTTCCTAAGGTGGTAAAGTAAGATTAGGTGGTAGGCAACATCCTTATCTCCAAATCTGGGACATACTCTCGCATAAATCCACAGAGTGCAGGGAAAGAGCAAATTTAGACTTAGAGAACAATGATAGTGAAATACCCATGTGGAAAGAGGAAGAATAATTTCAACCATCTCTAGGGTGGGGGTGGGGGCAAAAGGGAAAGGGGAGGGAAGGAATTAAAAGGGAAAATAATTACATGATAACTTATATCTATCATATATTTAAAAGGAATAGCAAGTTGTACATAACAGATTTGCAGTTTCATGTTCAATCTTTTTTTATTATACCATGTTATAGAAATGCTTGTTTTATTCCATAAACAAAAAAAAAAGAGAGAATGAGAAGTACCAGGATAAGGAGAGAGTTTTAGATGAGACAATATAGCAGACTTCATTTTTATATGATCACATGGTGTTAATGTATAATGGTCATATGGACTTAAGTTATTGTTTTTTGTTTTTTTGGGTTTTTTTGGCTAGGCAATGGGGTTAAGTGACTTGCCCAGGGTCACACAGCTAGTACGTGTCATGTGTCTGAAGCCAAATTTGAACTCAGGTCCTCCTGACTCCAGGGCTGGTGCTCTATCAACTATGCCATCTAGCTGACCTGGGCTTAAGTTTTAAATGTGTAAATTAAAATGGTTTATAACCTGGGATCTCCTTGAACTTCTTTGATGGAGACAAGGAAGAAAGGAAAGCAATTGATTGCAATCAGGTCTAGTCATTGGGCCTTTGCATAAAAATAGACAGTCAAGTAGTAAACCAGACTAGAGCCAAAGGACTCCCAAGATTCCAGTTGTAGATTTGGAGCTAAGCCCCTCAGAAAGAATCATTTTTGGAGAGAGGGGGGTTTCTTTCTCCTTTCTGTCCCTACCCTCACCCTCGGCATTCACCCCATCATCAGAAAGACTCAACCAAGTGCAGACAATACCTCCAGCTGGGATCAGAGAGACTGGACCAGGAGGAAACACACAGACAGCCAGAGAAGTGGCACATTGAGGACGATCAGATGCAGAAATTCAGTTCCTAGAGGATGAAGGCCTCTTCAAGGAGTATGACTCCTTACACTAGAAGAGAGTTCTGGCTATGTACTCAAGAAGGCCCTCTGGTCTACAAAGTGTCAGGAATGGTGAGTTACACTTTGCTCCATGTGAACACCAAAAGTGTCCTCCAAGGCTCTGTCTTTGTTCCTCTCCTTTCCTCCCCTCCTTCACTGTCTTCTCTTTTCCTTCCCTTTTTCCCCATGCCCATATTGTCATCTCACCTCCCCTCTCCTTTCCTTTCTTCTCTGTGCTCTCCATAGCAAATCCTACAGCCTCAATTAGTAATTTAATAAAAATGACTCAAATCTACAGATACAGTTACATCTTGTCCCCTGATATCTGTTATTTTTTTTTTCCATTTTAGGCAGTATGGTACAATGGAAAGAACGCTGAGCTTGGAGGAAGAGAACCTGGGATAGAATCAAGATTCTTCTTCTTTTACTACCTGTGTGACCTTGGGCAAGTCACTAACACTGCATCTCTTTTCCTCATCTGCAAAATGAAAGGGAATAAATATCCCATAAGGCACTTTCCAGCTCTAGTTTTTCGGTATTATGATCAACATATCTCAAACTAAATCTTATTTTATTTTTAAAACCTACTGGTCTTAACTTTCCCACTTCTGTTGACAGCACCACCAATCTTCAATTCACCCAGTATTGCTCCAAGACAGTAGTAAATCTGTGATTAGAATTAAACTCTTAATTCTCAGCAGTTTGTTCTTTCAGCTTTAACATCCATGACAACCCATTTTTGTCATCTTTCCAATGTAAAGATCCGTGATTATTAATGCACTTTAACTTGCTTTCCCAGTTCTTCAATGAGCTACCATTTAACTATCTATCCATATTCTACTCCTGGAATGATCTTGAGACCAAGTGTGAACAAGCTGAAAGTTATCTCTCTTTACTCAAAGTTTCTTATAAGGAGCTCACTGAGAACTTTTCTTTCTATCATATACTTTGCTTCAAACTCATTTCTTTATATGCATATATCCCCATTAGCCCCTAAACTCCTTAAGTTCAGGGTCTGCATCACTTTTCATTTTTGTGTTCCCAGTTTCAAGCAAAAATCCTTGCTAAACAGATATATGTTTATTTTTTAATTGAATTGAACTGAATTATAATGGTGAGTGCTAGGTAGCTTTTAATTAATTAAGGATGACAATATATTTTGCAGTGTCTCAAAACATAGTTGAACCTCAAAATAGTCTTGTATGATGCATTATTATTTTTATTCACATTTTAAAAATGGGATAAGGGAAGAATACAGAAAGGTTCAATACCTTGCTCTGGATTACTTAATATGTCAGAAACACAGCTATTACCAAGGTTTTATATGTCACACAAAAAAAATGATAAATGGCAAAATGATCAGAACTTAGGAACACCTGGGAAATTAAAAGAAAATATTAAAAAGCTGTATCCTTTAATCTTTTCTGTCCTCAAGTAAAAAGACACAGAAAAAAGGCATAGGATGAATAATGCTACATTTATCAAGAGCAGATCACAGCACTGTAATTTAATGTATCATGGGTCCATTACTTCAATGGCGAAAGAATTCCCTTCACTGATAACTAAGATCTGTCACTTAGTAGAAAAATCAGAGAATAATGTAAAGCTTAGTGTTATTAAGAAATTTTCCCATAATCAAATAGTCAAGTCAACAAGCATTTTTAAGCCCCTACTACAGGATAGGCACTGTACTAAGTGCTGGGAATACCAAGAAAGCAAAACAAAACAAAAACAACCAAACCAAAAAAAATTCAGTTCTTCATGTCAAGGAGCTACTAAATACTAGAGGCACAGTTGGAACTCAGGTCTTCCTGTCTCCAACTCCAGCACCCACCACACTTGCTCTCACTATTTCATTAATTCATTATAACCAGATCCTGCCATAATGCTCAGAAACACTGCTATAATGTTCTTTGACTATTCATGGCAAATTCATATAATGTGCTTTGTGGAGGCCCCAAAGTGGTACTTTATA